GTGTTTTTTTTTTTCCTTGCAGTTGCTCATACCACTCTATATTTGAATGTTTGACGTCTGGTCTGGTTTTGTTTGTTTGAGGTTTTTCTTTCTTGTGACAATATTCTTACTCTTGTTGGTTTAGTGACTGGTACAATCTTGAGAAATCTAAGAGGGTGAAGGCGTTTCGATGTGGGGAATATGATGAATGCATTGAAAAGGCAAAGGCTTCTGCGGCGAACTCTTGTAAGAAGGCTGTGAAATACGCCCGGAGGGAAGATGCAATTTTACATGCTCTTGAGCTTGAGAATGCCCTTCTAGGTGAGGACCAGTTGGACTTCAGCTATAGGACTCAGAAAAGTGCGTCAGATGGCGAGCATGCCGTCTTAGCCAGTGAATCTCCTCTTGTGTCGGATTCTTGTGAAGAAGAAGAAGGAGAAGAAGTAGAGGAGGAGGAAGAAGAAGAAGAAGGAGAAGAAGTAGAGGAGGAAGAAGAAGAACAAGAAGAACAAGAACAAGAACAAGAAGCCATCATGTCGGATGATGTTAGTAATTCTGAAGACACTTGTTCAAAGAAAAGTAATTCTGAAATGAGTTCTTATTCAGCCCCTGAAATTTCTCATTCAGATATTCCTTTGGAAGAGACTAATCATGCCAGTTCTTCAAAGGTGCTATCTGAACATTATAGGAGGAGAACGCCGAATGATTCAGAGGATGATGGAACTGTTAAGCGTATGAGAGGACTTGAAGATTTGGGTATGGGTTCATTGGCAAATGGGAAAGCCCACTCAGGAGAGCAACCTGAAATAGTTCAACAAGAGGTTGCTTCTCCTCGTGACGTGAATGCCGGGAATTGTGTGACTAATGGAAATCCCCCAAAGATTATTCATATGTATTCATCGTCATTGAGAAGAAAAAGATCTCCGGTGCCAACTGTACAGGAATTCTTGAAAAGGAAAAATCGCCGTCGACCGTTGACAAAGGTTTTGGAGAGCACAGCAATGGTATCTGTTCCTGTGACTTGTGATCAACTTCCTAATACATGCAGTTCGCTCGCACGAGGAACATCTGATGGTAAACCTGCCGAATTAGATATTGAGAAAAAAAGAAGTAATTCTTTGGTGACAATCAATAGTTCCGATGGCGATGGCATAGTTTCTCGTGACAATGAAGCCTCATTAAGTGCTTTGGAAGTATCTCGGATAAATCCTGAGGCAAAGGAAACTGAAGTCTCCAGTATATCGGAGCTCCCTCAAAATAACACTTCCGATAAGCTATTTGACGTGCCATTTGTTGGAGAGGAGAAGAACACTGCTGGTATGCTCGAAGTGAACAATTATAAATTTTAAACTTTATATCTTACTATCTGTTGTTTAACTGATGAAATTAGTATCTTTAGATGATGTGCATTTCTACTCCCCGACTTTGGCATCGTTTATACGAACCGTTTTTTTTTTCCTTTGTATATCTTTTTTTAATCAACTTTTTGCTTCATTTGACCTCGTTACTATCGGTTCGGCTGATACGAATAGAGATCACTTGTTCATTTTCAAATTGCTTATTGTCAAACCGTTCTGCAGTGCTGATCTTTGTTCTTCAACTGTCAGGTTTTTCTCCTACGAATCCCTCTTCTTCATCCGGTAGGTCTAAGGTTGGTGGTACCTTAGGAAGGCAGTCGAGTCGAAACACTCCAGTATCTTTGGAAAATGAGGCAACGAAGGAACCCAGTTCTACGACTTCAGGTGCTGTTCGTAACGATAATATTAACCAAAAGATCGAGAGAGGTACTTCAAGGTGGCAGATAAAAGGAAAGAGGAAGTCAAGGCATTTAAGTAACTACAGAAAACAAGATTCAATAAACTCCTTGGATGTGGAAGATGCATCGGATTCTTGCTTGGCAGGTAAAGTAGATTGCAACAGCTTTGGTCGATCCCCATTGGCAAATGATCGTAGCCTACTCGAGTGGGGTAAACAAATACCTAACAGGAAGCCTCATACAAGTGAACTGAAAACTGAGGTGAACCAATTGCTTGACGACTCTCTGATACCTCAAAAGTTGCTTCCTTATCGCCCGTCCCGCTTTACTGTCCATTCTCGATATCAAATGCCAGAATATTACGTTAGAAACTACGGAGTGAATTCATTATTATATGATGTTGAGCTTGAGGTGAAAGCGAGCTATAGGCCTCAGCATGTTCCATTGGTATCTCTGATGAGCAAATTGAATGGTAAAGCCATAGTTGGTCATCCTCTCACAGTTGAAGTTATGGAAGACGGGCACTGCGATTCCTTGTTGAGCCGAGCAGATAGTGAACCAGAAGGTGGCTATAACCGTTACGCAGTAAAGCACATCACATCTACTAGAACTCTAGCCAAACAGTCAAAACAATCACCATCCCAACCTTGTTTCTCACCGAGCAAATCGCCGAGAATGAAAAAAACTGGGCATTTATGTAAAAAGATCCGCAAACTATCGTCGCTGACTGGTAACCGACACCAAAATCAGCCGAAACGATTGGTGCAGAAGTCAAACGATCATGTCATCAGTTGCATCCCCCTTAAAGTAGTATTCAGTCGGATAAACGAAGCAGTGAGCGGTTTAGCTCGACCATCACACCATGCCTTAACACAAGGCATCCGATGAGACGGGTTTGTTCTTTGATAGCTTTGCTTGAATTATACAAGTTGCACAAGCTAGCCTCTATCTGATTTAGACTTTGTGGTATGCATACAGCAGTATTCAACATTAAGTTAGATTGATAGCATCAACTGTACAAGTTCTTTGACATTTTGATATTATTGTAGAGGAAGTGGTAGGACGACAGGAGTAGGAAGCTTGGTTTCTGATAGGCTTGTATATAATGTAAAACTAGCGGCGGCAGAGTTGTAAAGATGGTGTTTGGAATCATCTGGTATTTGGTAGTATTAGTTACTTTTCTTAGTTCAGGAGTTAATAACTTCCAATTCCCTTTGTAATGTTTGTAAACAACATTATCACTAATTTATTCTCAGTAAACTTCTAAATATGTTCTGTGATTTTGTTACTAAGATGGTAATAGATATTGTTGGCTTCGGATTCTTTTTATTAGGGTGGGTTGAATGGTCCTGAAGAATTGTTCAATGTGTAATCGTATAATTGGTTGGTGAGATCTCACATCCTTGGAGAGGATAACAAAGTATTCCTTGTAAGTGTGTGAATGTGTGAAAACCTGTTCCTAACAAATGTATATTAAAACCTTGGGCTTCCATTAAAACCTTGAGGGGAAGCCCAAAGAGGACAGTATCTATCAGTGTTAAACTTGAGTTATTACAAATGGTATTAGAGCCAGACATCGGGATGTTGGGCCCCCATGGAGGTGGATTGTGAGATCTCACGTCGATTGGAGAGGATAACGAAGTATTCTTTGGTATTAGAGCCAAACATCGGGCGGTGTGCCTACGAGGATATTGGGCTACCAAAGGGGTGGATTGTGAGATCCCAAAATCCTACATCGGTTGGAGAGGAAAACAAGACATTTTTTTGATATTAGAGCCAGACATTGGGTTGTGTGGCTAAAGGATTATTTTGGGCTCCCAAGGAAGTGAGTTGTGAGATCCTACATCGGTTGGAGAGAAAAAAAAAAGTATTTTTTATAAGGGTGTAGAAACCGCTCGTTTTAAAACTTAGGAAAAATCTGAAAAGGAAAACCTAAAGAGGACAATATCTATTAGCGGTGGGTTTGAAAGTCACGGGTTATTCCATCCTTATAAAAAAATTAAAGAAATCATTTAGGGTAAAAGAAAATAGCATTATATACAAAATGAGAAGAAATGGAAGTAAGACTTATTCAATGGTCAAACAAAAAGGCACAAATCTGAAAAGATTATATAAACCATGGTGCACTAAAATAATGTCACTTTTTCATTTTGAAAAGACTAACTGGAGTGAATCTAATATTGATCATAATTGGAGAGGGACTTTAAGTAAGCCTTTGAAAAGGAAGATTTTGCATTGGCCCCAGAGGTTGTCCACCAATGGCTCTGTAATGAACAATGACTTTGGCTTATCTAAATCTGCATTGATTAGTTCAATTAATCTTCTTTTTGCATAGAAATGGTCAGAGTTGAATTTTCAAACGTCCATGCTTCCAAAATTCACCTGGTTGCAGCCACAAACATCAACCACCAACCATTTTGGTAATACTTATGACATGGCAGCAACTTCTCATATCATTCCAATAAACATGATGAGATCACTAAAACGTACCAACAAGTTTTGCAAACCCTAAGACTTCTCTAAAAAGAAACAGCATATTTTGAATGTTCAAAAGTCAATGGAAGTGCCTATACAACACGCATTTGTGCAATACCTGTTGCTTGTTCTAGTTGCTATCTCTGCTATATAAATATGACCCAAAATCAAATTATCTACAGTTTGTACCAAATCCTTGGCTGCAGACGAGCAGCAGCCAAGAAAAAAGACCATGTCTGTGAAGAAGTCTCTATCTCTAACCAAAGCTGAGGAGGCCAAGCGCTCGGCGAGGTATGATGCTGCCAGAAAGCGCAGGAGATCTTTCGATCTCTGTTTCTCATCCCCAAAACTACCAATGGAACATGGGAAGTCTTTGAAAGAGATGGATTCAGAGAAGTTGAAGAGTGGGATCAGGAAATGGGCTAAATCCGTGGTAGCTTATGCTCGCCAAGTAAGCGATCGGTTTGGAAGCTGGCGTCGGTAAATGAACCAGATGCTGTCATGGAGTTTGATGAACTTGGCTACCATAAGAATGACTCAAATTCTCTCTTCAACAACAGGTTTGTTTTTGTGTGAGCAGAATTGTTTCGATGGTTAGGGGGCTGTGGCTTCCATGAAGAACATGGATCAGAATGGAGCTTGTTTGTACTGTGTCATGAAAGCTAAAGATCAAAAACAATGTACAGAGTAATCTACTTTCTTTTTTCCTTCTTCGTCTGAAATAAAATAGCCCTTTCAGCTTTTCTGAGGAATAAAGCAAGATTCTCTTTGAGAAATGAATGATCACGGATACAATACAAGTATAAAAGTGATTCCTTATGTGCAATGAATCATCTCATTTAATCTCTCTCTCTCTTCCACCCTTCTTCATCCATTGAAGGAGGAAAAAAATCACCCACCAGTACGTGTGAATGTTCAAAACAAGAAAACCGGCAAAAAAAAAAAAAAAAAAAAAAAAAAAAAGAAGAAAAAAATGGACACCTCGTAAAATCAGACTACTATGATATTTATCTATGACTCTATATGGCTCTACAGCAGAGGATGGAAGTAGGAAAATGTGTTTTTTCAGTAACTTCCACTTTCTACACGGTTTTCTTTACATAGTTTAGAGTTTTTTCCCCACCAGATATGGTTCTTAACAGTTGTTTTGAACAAATGTCCTGAACCTGTGAGGCTTTCTGCACGCGGTTGGCTTTTACCCATGCAGGTTCCTGCCAATAAAAACCAAGTTTTTCCATCTTTAGAACCTTTTAGTTTCAGGGAATGTATGGATATGGTATAACATTTTAAGTCCTATGGGATTGCCGAAAGTTTGATTCTCTCACTTTTTTCATAGAAAAGGCGCGAAAAGGTATGAGTGGGAGAGTTAAAATTTACCTCGGGTACTAAACGAGAGAAGCCGAACTTGACGAGTAGGAGAACATGTTCCATGACTAGGATGGCCGCAAGTCCAGGTTCAATCTTCCATTTCCCTTCCTGATCATATAACCATACTAGAAGTGCGCAGTTGGTGCATATGGACATCACTATCAAAAACTGAGATTTGAAGTGGTTTGCCACTTTGTTAGACATGGATGTAATATTATTAAATCCAAGCCTTCCACCATAGGGGAAAAAGAGGGGAAAAAAAAGAGCCAATTCCATCGGCAGGGTAAGGCAATGGATGGATGGATGGATGCAGAGAGACTTTTAGTGCCATTCAATCAGTTTTTCCTGTATAGGGATGTTATGACAGACTCCAAATACTAGGCAGCCTATTCTATGTATGAATCAGATCAGTCATTACCATGCGCTTAAATAAATTTGAACTGAAATAACTTCAAGGACTTTGCCATATAGTTGAAAAATTAAGCTTCTTTTCTCATTATTCCTCTATAATAAAAACATGTTAAAAACTATTTTTTCTAGTTTTCAAAACTTGGCATAGTTTTTTAAAACAAAGAGGAAAGTAGAAACAAAACAAAGAAATTTATAGGTAGAAGTAGCATTTATAAGCTTAATTTTTAAAAACCAGAAAACAAAAAACGAAATGGTTATCAAACAATACTTTCAAGATAAAGATACATAAATTGTTAAATCCAAAAACAGGAGCACCTGAAAAATGTTGAGCCAAGCACCAATTGTTGTTGCTGCACGGGGAAAGGGTCTTTTGTGCATAGCTAGCAGTTTCAGAGCATCAGTTCTTATTTCTGTGATGTTGTTCTGAATATAAAAGTCAGAAGAACAATCTATGTAAATAGGAAATAAAACGGTATTGGTAAGTAAACCAAATACAATGAAAGCAAAAGATTTTACCAATGCAGCAAACGCAAATGCAAGAGGGAATGCACAAGCAAACATCATTATCATTCCGAACTGCAATGCTAACTCCAAATAATCTGTGCATTCAGTGTTGGAGTTGTCGTTAGATTCAAAAAGGAGCAAACAATCATAGATGTCCTTGAACAAGGAACTCAAATTTGTATGAATGCGTGCTCGCACACACATATACAAACAGCTTCTCAGTCTTTGACCTCTCTACTCTATAACATAAGCTTTCTTGCTTGTTTTAACAGAAATTTTCAACAAGCTCTATTAGACCAAAAGATCTTAGTTACTGAGCAGAAAATCTCTTGTGCAACAAGGAAAAAGCCACGAAGTCCCAAAAGCAGGAACAAGAACTACTAGAATGTAAAAAATTTTAAGTCAAGAAAGGGATCAAAGAAGGAACTCTAACTTTACTAGGTCTGCCACAGAAACAGAAATGATGCCCGGAAGTTACAAACTTCAAAGTAACTGAATAAAATGTATGTGATTAGGAAATGACATAATAATTCTACTTGTTTCAAAGATTTGTATTAAGCTTGTTACCATCAAAGAGCCCATCTTCTAGCTCAACACCAATGCTCGCAGAATAAGAAGGTTTCAGGTATTCTTTCTCTGCCCGAGAAGTGAACTGGATCCTCCCTTGAGATGATCCTTTTTCACGTCTTTCGTTGCTCCTTTACACCAGAAGGATGAGCAGGTCAAAGTTATATGAAATAGTAAGCCTGAGCGTGCCCACAATGCAACAAGTCCAGAAATTATTGTAAAAAATGGGAGTTATTACCGGATTTTGTATTTTCTATAGCTGTACTTGAGATAGGGTACGGAATTTTCCAACAAGTTTTCCAACACCTGAATAACAATTTCCAATTCAAAGCATGTTACGGTCAGAAATAGTGAAGAGCAAAGCTCCATACTAGGTGAACAGTTAAAAAGTTGACCGTTCTTTCACCTCAGATATAAGGAGACGCTGTATTAAAACTTGGCGGAGAGTTGCAAAGTTACGGTGCAGAAGGGCATGGTAGAAGACTCCAATATAGGATTGCATAAAATAAAGTCCAAAAATCTGCAGGAAAACTCATTTAAGTGAACTAAAGCAATAAGAACGATGAATGGATAAGGCCCATTTACCTTGTAGACCAAACTATCAGCCCTTTTTTCATTGTTTTCGTAATTTTCACAGTTAATGAGCTTCATAGATATCTTAGCGCCCAACCGTGTGAAATATTGAATGGAAAAAAGGTACAAGACAGTCAACCCAAATCTGAAACCAAAATTATATATATATAAATACTGAACGGTATGTTACCAAATAATTTTATACAGTTACAGAGAGAATACATACAGTACTAATTATTTCTGCCAAAAATAAACAATGAGATGTGAAGACAAGTATTATGACAGTTGTTGAGATAGTTTTCTTAAGCTATGTACGTAGAAACTGTTTTAAGGTTGATGTAAAATACTGTTCATATGAAGTTATGAACTGCTAAATGATTATTGAGAAAATGGCCAATTGGAACTTTAACCAACCATACTGATGCAAAAACACCGGTGGTATAATTTTAGCGTACAAGGTATAATCAGGAATGGAGATTCTGAATGTAAAGATCGACGAAATTTTACTTGGTTTGCATCTGTTGTAAAGGGAGAAAAAAATGAGACTGTTTATGGCTTCTTTTCAAATTGATCAAATTCCTGTGCCTTAAGGGAAAGGTGGAAAACTGCAATAGCTGAGCAAAAAATAATGTCCAACATCGAATAGATCATGAATTCAAGAGCATGCAATATTTGAAGATATCTTAAGTACTTACTTGATAACATCCGACTGAATAACCTCATAACAATGAGCATATGCCAACTCAAATGGCAACTGCAGGCATATAATGCTCAAGATGACGATTGCATCATTTCTGAATCGCCTAAGGCAGCCAAACCACTCAAATCTTTGAAACGCTTCTTTCTCTTTTGTTTTATCCATTTCCTGGTTTTTTATGAGCTCTACAGGTATTTGTAGGGAGCCACATTCCACGCCTGAAAATCTAAAACTTGAATCACCTCCAAATGCATAATTGATCTGCCATCTTTACAGCAAGAGTTGAGAGAAATGAATAAGTGAGAATCAAGGCCAAAAGATAGATAAAAAACGAAGTGACCATAACAGCATATGCTAGCTTAGACCAAGGTACCTGGCTACAAGGGCAGAGTTTTTCCGTCTCCAGAACTGGGAAAACATGACGGCCCATACAATAATGCTTACAAAGAAAATAGGGAGGACCAGTAACCGCAAGGACCTGTATACAAGATGAGCTTTGTGCTATAATTTTATGTCTTTGGAATGCTTGCACAAGTTGAAAAGAATGGATGGCCCAAATTCAAAGAAGCTCACCCAAATTCAACTAACTGCAGAATAAGCCCAAGTGCAGCTGGAAATAGCAACCATCGTGTATACATTCCAAGGAATGCAAAGTAGAGTGCAACCTTCAAACATTTAATTCTCTAACATGTCAGTCAAAATGCACACCAGAATGATAAGCTGCTGTAAGATAAAATTATGGTTGAAGTACCTTTGTACCAAAATATGAATAAACCTCATCAAGAGGCTGGCCGGTGAATTCCCACCAGTTAAGTGCCCAGTTTCCAAGGAGCTTCTTCCTCCTTATTTCATCTATAAAATAGCTATCTTATTTCCTTGGAATATACAACACAGAGATGCAAAATTTTAGGAAGTCAAGGAAAATATACCATGTAGAGGAAATATTTGCTTAACAATTTTCTTGGATTCCAATGTACGGATTAAACTCTCCCCGACGTTCCACTGAAATTCTTCTTCCTCACATTTAAGAGTTACAGCGGACTGGTTCTCATTTACCTGTAAAATGAAAGAGCTTATCTCTGGCAATGTCGAGGTACAGCCTGCGCTAGGAAATGACTAACAGCTAGTGAAGGATATAACAAATAATCAGATGCCTAATCAAGGGATAAAATTAATAAAACTTACAGGATTGTTTACATATTCACATTTTACTGGCTGCAAAAAATATATTTATTTATTTTTTTCTTTCTTTCGAACACAAATGAAATTATTAAACCATCAAAGCAACTTATTCCATATGAGAATTTAATCAAAATTCCAAAACTTATGAAAATAAATTGCTAAAAAAATATTGAGATTATAGTGTAGTTAATAGAATACATGGATGGGAAAAAACCTTGTGCCATATGAGAAGTCACTTACAATCCCATATATCAAGTGATGATAGCAACGAAATCGTTCACACCAACTGAAGAGTGAACCATCAGGCTGTCTAACAAAAGCTTTAACCTGGTCCACTTCAAAAAGCAAATCCATACCTTGTATCCAGATAGCACATCACCAATGCACAGAAACAAAAGCACAACCTTTTAATACATGTTATAGAGAAAGACCAACAGAGAAAGGAGAACGAGAATCGGCCAAGGGCTTAGCTAAAGATAGTCGAGCTTACCAATATGAGTCCTCTTCTTCATTTGTAGGCGTGCAGCAGCCTTTCCTAATGTCTCCAGAGGCGCTGCCAACTAGATTTTAGAAGCGGGAGCTCGTAAAAGTACAATAAATGGAGATTGCAGATAAGCAAGGGGAAGATGAATGCTTAATATAAGCTAATGCATCCAACTAAAACTTAAGAACCAACAAATATGTGTATGTATTAAAATAGTCCAAAACTTTTTCTAGCAAGCGGAAGAAAAGTGAGTTAAATGCAAGAATCCTACATTGGCAGCTAAGCACAGCTGCACAAAGTAAATTATTCGCTAGATTATTAGCTTATACGGACCCTTCTGTTAATACGTTTTAAGAACAGCATCTCTAATTCACGCAGATGTTAAGCGAACACATGCTAATCAAAATCGTGGGAGAAACCATCCTTGCAAATCATGCTACTATCTAACAACAATTATTTAAATTAGCATCAAAAGAAATGATGTTTCTGAAATAAACTCGCGGTTTATAAAACAAGTAGCAGAGGCAAACCTTCATGAACTCATCAGTGACCCCATCAATTCTCTCAACGATAAAACCCACCTTCTGAAACGCATTTTCGAGCACCTCCACACAGTCATAAGTGACGTATTCTTCCTCCGTTTTCCTTTTTGGAACCACCAAGCATACCTCAAAGATAGCTTGTTCCTCCGGATGAACTTTCATTTCCGCGCTCACTCACAGTCTACACCCAAGAGCTCCAAAAGATTAATAATATAACGCCATATGAAACAGAATATTCGATAATAGGGGAAAGGAAGAATCGATCAAAAAGACAAAAACTCTGTTAGAACTTGGAAGAACACAGAGCCAAATGGGTCTCGATACCATTCTGGAACAAGAGGGATATTGTAAAAAGGAAATAGTTCTCTTAAATTGATCAATACCCAAAAAATCGCTAAAGTTTTGCACAAACGGGAACAAACTTTCACTCAAATTGCTCAAATGAACGAAATATTTTCACCAAATTGGTAGGACGGATGAATGAACATGGAAGAACAAAACGAATCTAGGCAAAAGAAAGAGAAAAAAAAAAGTGAGGACAAACCAGGTGTCTAAGCACATAACATTGCGATTCAGAGACACATGGGCGAGCATAGAATGAAACAGACACGTACTAAACCTCGATGAACACATAAACAAACAAATACTCTCTCGACCTTTCTCTCTTTTTCTATGCTTCCATCGCTTAAAACGAAAAGGGGAAACGGATTGGGGGATTCGAAGGTCAATTGTGATCATCCTTCATCCCATAGCCCTTTCTACGCATTTGGATCGAAAGAGCGTACCAGAAAGACAAAATGGCTGGTTCCTGGTTAAACGTTTCTCAGTGTTTTTGCAGTCTGGAATTCAGCAAGCTCGAAATAGAGACAGCAATCCGCAATCCTCAACAACCATTAGTTTCAGCAGATTTTGCTCTCTCCTCCTATTACACATTTCTATTTCTGTTCCCAACATTCCAATCATGGACATTTCCATGATTAGACGCTAATCTTCCAATCTCTTATTCCTTCCTCTTACCCTCTTCCTTTCTTACCCATATAAATCGAGCTTTGAACTTTATAAACATACTAGTTTTTTCCTCCAACATAATTGGAGTTCAAAAGTTTCTTTTTCTTTTATTATATATTTTATTTTTTAACTTACATTATTTTAATTAATTAATTATATATATTTATTTTGGTATTGATAGTTTTTTTTTTAATTAGATTGAATTTTTTAAAATACATTTTTTTTTTTTTTTTGGATTTGACGAGAACAATTTCAAAATAGAGTTACAATTCAATATTGAATTTGACATTTGTAATTTGTGAATCTTTGAATAAATATGATTTTTTTTTAAATATTAAAAAAAAAACAATTTGACATATCAACCAAACCCAACGTGTATATGTTCCTATGAAGTAGTATTACTATCTCGAGCCTTCCAAATACTTCGAAGCAATTACGGCTCAATTGAGTAACGGTGGTGGGTCGGAGATGAATACTGAAAAAATAGCTAATAAGTATGGAGTGTTACAACTTTGGTTTGGGAATTTAGAACGAGGGGACATTTCATAGACAAATATTATATATAAGCAAAGATAATTGGCTCAAGAATTGAATCAGCCCGTGTTGGGTGGACCCACATTTTGATTTAGTTAATGAACAAATCAGCGCCGTCCAATTCTTTCGCTACCAAGATTCTTCTTTAACCAAGTTCAAAGGAATTTCATTTGATTTCAAATTCCCAAAATCAGGTTATTTTGCAGCCCTACCGCATTTTGGGCATCTTCCGATCATGGGGAACACCGACAAATTGTTGAATCAAATCATGGAGTTGAAGTTCACTTCGAAGTCGCTGCAGCGCCAAGCAAGGAAGTGCGAGAAGGAGGAGAAAGCCGAGAAGCTCAAGATCAAGAAGGCTATGGAGAAAGGCAACGTTGATGGAGCTCGAATTTACGCGGAGAACGCGATCCGTAAACGAACAGAACAGATGAACTATCTCCGCCTTTCTTCCAGGCTTGATGCTGTTGTGGCTCGTCTCGACACGCAGGCGAAGATGACCACGATCAATAAGTCCATGGCGTCGATCGTAAAGTCCTTGGAATCTTCTTTGACGACTGGGAATTTGCAGAAGATGTCTGAGACTATGGATCAGTTTGAGAAGCAGTTTGTGAATATGGAGGTTCAGGCAGAATTCATGGAAAATGCAATGGCTGGATCGACGTCGCTCTCGACACCGGAAGGAGAAGTCAACAGCTTGATGCAGCAGGTGGCGGACGATTACGGTCTGGAAGTCTCCGTCGGGCTACCACAGCCGGCGTCGCATGCAGTGCCGACCAAGGAGACCGAGAAAGTTGACGAGGATGACTTATCGAGGCGCCTTGCAGAGCTTAAGGCCAGAGGTTAACAGAATGACATGAGTATAAAATCTTATTACTGTGTGAAACATATCAAATCTACGCATTTAGAAATTCTGAGTTCTTGGGCTTGCTATGAATATTCGAACGATGTTACTTTCATGTCTATATTCCAGTGAATTCGCTTTCAATGATAATTTGTTGTCTCTGTATTCTCTGTCCTGAGAATTTGAATATGGAGTTCGATCGAATTTTCTTTGAAGACCAATCCCAGTGATGATGGGTGCATATATTCACCTTCTTAACTGTGTAATTCCATGATTGTAACTATTTTTCTGCCAGCGTCCAAGAAATTGTTCCTCGGAGCACGAGTGAACTGGCCAACCTGCAGGCTCTGTAAGTGAACGTGTTTTGACACAAACTATATTTGCTTTGATGTTGGTTTGGTGGTGCTTGTTGAGTGAAACCTTATCTTTGTTGCAGCTTTCCCCCGTCCTCAGTATTGTTTCCACACTCAGCTAGAAAGAAAGGCGTTCTGTTTAGGTTTTAATCTACAATGTTGTACTCCTAATCTTTTTTGAAGTACTCACATATGCCTCGAGTGCACATATGTGAAGTGAATAGAAAAGCTATCAGTATAGAACATCACTAGTCTCGTGGTATCAAATTGGTAGATTCTTACTCTTTTTTGTCTTAATCCATGAGTGTTTGAACCAACTTACTAGTCTTGTGGAATCAAATTGGTAAATTCTTACTCTTTTTTGTATTAATCCATGAGTGTTTGAACCAACTTACTCGTATCGTGGTATCAAATTGGTAAAATTCTTGCTCTGTTTTAATCCATGAGTGTTTGAACCAACTTGCATGCACCTGACTCTACAATATTTAAGATATGAAATCTTAGGTCGATGGCCACCAAGGGTTTAAACCAATTTGCTCCAAGCCTTTTACTATTATCATGTTCCTCATTGACCACTAGGACAATCCATGGTGGTTGTTTTGTCTCTTTTTGATCTCCTCTCGATGGCTTAGGTTATATTAATTGCAATGTCCATGGCATCACCCTTAGGAGATTCCTGTGCAATTGCAGGCGAATCCATCTTGTATACTCTCTGTTGAATATTTCTGCCATAGAAGGTGTTTCCAATATGTCGGCAACCACTCATACAAACCAGGGTTACTGCTTGTTTTCTGTCATTGATTTCTAATGGGTTTGCCTGAATTTTGTCCAAGTTAGTGGTCAGTTCCTTGTTGAGGGATCTTTATAATGTTGTTAGCTGATCAAGCATTGTTTTGTAGATCTCGAGTTTCATCTGATTTTACTTGTTTGATTTTATATTCAACTCCTATAATATACATTTGAGAGAGAATCCTTAAATTGAGCTTCAAATTTCAATGGGGTCTCTGAAATCCTACTCAAGTAAAGAACTCATGATGCAAGCTTAAGACAGGGGAATCAGAATTTAAAGAACAAACCAGAATAATCAACAGTAGTAGCAGGAACAACAGTTTTATATATCATCGTGGCACGTACAGTTTGAGAAATTATATAAATTTTATACATCTACAAGTGTAATTCTATTCGAACTCTACGTAAAAACTGCAGAAAAGTAAAACAGATCGTATCAACAGTTCTACCAAGCTTGTATCAAAATCCAAAGATTTCGGATGATATGTTTAACAGTCGACCCAAGGCATTTGGAGTGAACTTCCTAGCGAAAAGGAAACAGAGCGCTGATGGCTGGTTATTGTAAACACACGTTCTACTTTCGAAAAGTTTACTGAAGAAATCGCCCTGGATGTCTGCGTCTCCAAACATTGCAGGATGAGCACCGCCCCTCGACCAGTCAACAAAAGTAACACTCCTGTTTGCTATGAGATGAGGCGTTTTGATGCTCAACAGGGTCTGGAAGTAATGTTCATCAACATAACATGGTGGCTTGCAGAACTTTTTAAATTTGGGGTAGTAAACTGTGTCTTCAACCATCTTCACTGCAAGTTCTCTATTGACTTCAAACCACTGAGATCCCTTCCGCCAATTGGTGAGGTTAACCTCAGGTGCCAAACTCTCATTGTAACGTCCCCTACCGATGATTCCTGGTTCATCAAACGCACTCACGAAACTGAAACGGGATCGAGATAGGTAGTGATAAATGACGCTGAAATTGTGGAGAGGAATGCAAGACTCGGAAAGAAGAATGAACCATTCATTTCCAACATCAAGAAGTGCATTGGCAAGCAGTCTCCTCTCAGCATCACACATACTCATCCTCCCCCACTCGGCGATCTACATAGTGAAAATCCAAAATAAAATGAATCAACCTCAACCATACAGCAACTAACATAGAAGATACAGAAGCTCCAGGCACAAGTAGGGAGTTCCCAACAATTTGGAATAGGAATGCTAACAGAATCAAGGTAGATATTCGACTGCCATCGATATTATTCGGTGATAGGCTCGTATGTGTTCGTTTAAGAATCTTAGAAGTTCTACAAACATCTAGAGACTTATTAGCCAAGGCAATTCTCAACAGATTCAAGAGAGTTGCCATGGATGATATGGGAAAACTTCCTATGAAGCATCACTTGCTTCCCTTGATGCTTTACTAAACCGAAGTTCAGTTAAAATTCACAAATCTATTAATCTACTTCGTGATGGTACGTTTTAGACAACGAAGTATGCAGTTCTTATGAGTAAAGCAGAAGGGCAATCTAGTGTGTAAGCGTGACAAGAACACATATTACCTTACTCGGGATCCGTCGTCTGTAAAACACCGATGACGGTGGAAAATCAGCTACATAAAATGGCAAAGAGTGAATATATATAGAATAAAGTTCCTGATGTCCCTTGAAGAACCGCTCCCAAAGAGGAGACAAGGGCAGTGGTCCCTTGGTCAAGAACATGAAAGCAATTTTTCGAACTCTCTTGAATGGATACTTCTTGACACGAGGAACAAAAGACGCCCTCCAGAGAAGCTCGGCGTCGTTCATGGTATGCAGAAGACTTGATGGAGGTCTGATCCATCTTTCTATACTGGTTGGCTCTTCAAGACAAGGTCGAATTATGGTCCGTGCTACTCGAGGTGCCACATTTGGACTTCCAAAATACTTCACCGTATGCAAACTAGCCAGTGATATTCCAAGGAAAACAAGCAGAAACAGAAAGAAGAGCTGAAGAAACCTGAAGGGAAAGGCCTTGACAGGACTGTTTGTTCTAGTGCTGCCATTGGCAATGGCAGCGCCGGTGGCAGAGGCCTTTCCTTCCTCAACCCCCACCACTCTAGTCTGCATCTTTGCCCACCTTCCTACCCAATTCGCTTCCAGATACTTCACGTCCAAGGAAATGAAATCTACAAGCACATATTTAACGAATCAAAACCCTATCTCAAAAACAGAGCTCTCAAATAAGGTGTTCTAAATAAGGAATTCCAAACATCATGCCACAAGTTAACAACAAATCAACAAGATCTAACAAAATCCAACCATATACAGCAATTTACCAAATGTGTATTTCAGAAACAACTCATATCTTTCCCAAAACTGAAAACCTTCCTCATTAAATCAAAATGCCCAACGCCACAGCCCGTAAATCTCCTTGCAGCAAATAGAAACAACATACGAGATGAAATCGCTGGCGAATTGTATTACCACGTGGAGCGGTGGCGATTGAGCTCAAAACAATCGAGAAATGACACAGATCGGTTCAGTCACGAATCATTCAAACCAGACTGCGATCAAGGACTTGCTCGATCTGAGTTTCACAATACCCGGATGTTGAGAACCTGAATCCAAGACGAAGAAGGAAGATGGCCGTACGAGGGGAGGCGCTCGAAACTTTGAGCTTGATTTGATGAATTATTAATTTGTAAATAAGAAATTAATTTTTAGGTGAATATTCGCCTGTGTTTTGGATTCGAGTGTTTTAAGTTTAATAATAAAATACTGTTCTTGGTCGTACACGTGTAAAAACCTCTGGCTCTTTGGATTACCTTTAATTTATTTTATGTATTTTTTACTGTATGCTCTGATCATTAAATAAATAAAGTAACGCTTACATTCAAAATCATATATTATAAAATTTATTTTTCCTCTTACAAAACATGGAGTGTAAGGATTCGCTTGGAATTATTATTTTATTGGAAACACCAATAAACATAATTCTAATGCTAAATTTTATGAAAAAAGAATAATCGCGTTTTATAAAAGTTAAAATTAATAAAATACACGTATAAAGACGTCTTACCTTTACCTGAAAAATGATGTGACACACGGTCGGAGTATTTTAAAAAATACTCAGTAAGTGGCCCTATTATAGGGGTCGTGAAAAGATTCAAACACATGCAATAATGCTTTTGGGACCTATCATTAAAACATCATAGGGTGGCCTCCCGTCTGGACTAAATTGGATATGCAATACTTCCCTACACACGTCCTTCACGTGTGAGCGTGAATCTTCAGGCGATTCACACCCTCCGTGGACTCATCATAGTCGAGCTAATTGTCTGTAATGATGTCCGAAGGTTAGCAGACCTTTGGGTGTCATGCTCAGTATGATCACCATTATCATCATATCGTACACGTCCGTACTCACCATAAAAAAAAAAGGAAAATATCCCGATGTTTATGTACATACAGACATGCATAAGGTCCCTATACTTTATCGTCTTTAAAACATCTTTATGACACAACCCTAGGTCCGTTCTTATATTATATAAGTAATATATGTACATTAACTTCCCATATTATAATCAGCATTAAAGTTATCTTGAGTGATGTTCTAAGCATAATTATCGTCATAATTTTGTATGACATTCACAACATGCTCACAACTTAATATAGAAAATAATGTCATATTAAGTAAATAACATAATCTACATTATCCTATCATCATGCATCGTCGTCATCATACAGCGTTACTGTAACACATCATAATCATCATAAAACATCATCAAAAGTAATCATATAACCATACATTTCATCATACATCATAATTATAAAGCATAAAAGATACATGTCAGTGCCACTAGGCACATGTCGTCATGCAAGCAATTGTTTGGCCTATCCTATAGTAAGGTCACTTACTTAGTTGGCATTAGCCGGCGTTCTCCTTAATTTAAATTATGTTAGCTTCCGTTCCTTGAAAGTTGCTTCAAGTGCCGTTGGAGTTCGTTTCCTATTAGGTGGTCCCATTCCTTTCAGTATTTCACAATTCTAAATTAAATTCAACTCCAAATTGTGAAACAGAGCATGGTACTGAGCCGCGGACCCAAGCCGAGCCATTTAAGCCACCGGAGAGGGCCACGTTGCATTTCTCTCTCGGGTCGAGGCACGGGTTTGGGGTGCTGATGCGGGTGTTGGGCCTGGACCTCGTGCTGTAGGTGGATTGTGTCGACACTACGCTGCCTACTGGATCTGGGCCGAGGCGCGCATTGGGCCGAAACCAAATGGATGGGTAGTGGGTTATGGGTTTAGTCCGACCCGAATCCGGATCCGACGGATTCGTCTTCTTCCCCCTGACTCGGCGAGTTTTTCCGATTTTCTTCTCTCTCCTCACCACAGTGGCTTGTAGATGCTTAAAACGACAGATCTATTAGGTTCTTGAAAAATCGAAACCGATATCTCGTTCCCGATGACGATGCACGTAGGAGGAACGCAAAACGTACCTCAGATGAACGTACAGTCGTCGAAGATCTCTTTCATGGCATGAATCAAGCGTTTCGACGTTGATTTTGGTTGTTTTAGGTATGCGTTCGCGGTTTTAGGTCTAGGAGAACATCGCCAAACTTCTCTCTCTTGATCTCTTGCTCTGTGTTTCTCTTGTAATAATCCTTTTTTCGAGGTCATCTTTGGATATCTAAGGATTCGATATTCAGCTTTCATATGTTCTTCTAACAACAAATTCAATATCTAGATGTGTATGAGAAAGATAAATACGATGTTTGATCGATATCAATATGTGTTCTTCACGGAATTTCAATGTTCTGCGCTTAAAGCATTTGGCGCATTTGTGACGGAGTTAAATGTTTCTTAGTTAATCCTCGATGATCGAATATTAGAGGGAGAACGCCGAAGAAATCTCCGAGATTACAATCGTGGATCATGTCATCAAGAACGAAAAGAGTTTGATTCTGTACACCTTTCAGAAATCTATTCACATTTTCACTAATCAGAAGAACATGATTACAGACAAAATTTTCTTACATTTCTATAAGAATATTGACAACAGTGTGGATATATCACATCCCAGATGAACTGAAATACATCATAATTGGTTTCTTTCTTCTTGTATCAACTGAAATATCCTAGCCGCTGATTCAGTAGCAGATTTAGGATGGTGAGGCACAACCTTGATTGCCCTTGATTTCTGCTCACTCATGTCTGCATTAGGACTGGACTCCTCAACTCCTGGTGGTTCAGTAGGAAAAAGAGGAAGCACATCTCCATTGCCTCTCTCAGAGCTGCTACTACCTGTACGTCCCATCGATCCGTGAACTTTCCGAGCACGAAACGGCATCGAATGGCTCGTTTGGCTTGGCATATCGCACGAGTTTTCTTGATGCGCCAAGCAGTTGATATCCCCCGTTGATATCTGCTTTTCCTGTTCTTTTGATTTCACTTTAGCAGCAAACAGACTCATTTGATCTGGAGTTGACCCCGACATCGATTGATTCGTTACTGGTACATGTGGAAAGTACATTTGGTTCAAGGGAATCATGCCCGGAAAATATCCGAACCCTTGGTGGTTAGAAGTAGGAACAGCATAAGCTGGGGTGTAAAAGTCTCCACTGCCTGTGTTTAGGCTCGTTAATCCATAGTTACCGTACATCGGTGTCACGAATCCTGCAGTCGGAGGGCATGGTCCTGTATATGGTTTGTAAACAAGAGTTTCAGAAGGAGACATAACTGGAACCAGCCATTGGTTTCCTGGTGTAGGGTGGCTAATGCACCAGGGAGCTGATTTTGGAACAGCAACTATCGGAGTTTGTGGCGTGTCTTTTACTCGAAGCTCGTAGCTTGTTTGTCGAGTAAGGGCAAGTTTACTGTTGTCCTTGTTGTTAAAAGAAGGTAAAGGAAGCTTGGCAAGAGGATTCTTATCTGCACATTTGGTGTCGAAAACGGGATTTGGCCGTTGATGATAGCCTTTCACCGTGGCGGTTCGAACCGGCTGTTGCGCAGCACACTTCGTTGGCTTGTTCTTAACAGCAGACAGAGCGGATGGAGGTTTGTCTAAATAGTGTTCAAGTAATATGTGTGGTGAACCAGCAATGAGTCTTTGAACCTATGTTGAATTCAAGGAGTAAAGCGTTTAAAAGTAAAGGAGAACGGGCTACGAATACGACGACGAAACGAAACATTTAAGTAATCAGTAGAGCCAAATGATGGTGTACCTCTATGAGTCTATGCAGCTCAAACACTTGTACTGCAAAAATCCTTTGCTGACTGAAAACAGTAGCAAAAAAATGGGAATAAGGGAACAGATAATTCAACCCAGCAGCTAAAACTAAAATTGAGAAGAATACTCACTGAGAAATCGCTTTTCGAGCTTTCCAGAATTGTTTTTCACCGATCAACCCGACGACGACATCAGGGGAGATATTTGGAGCTGTAGCTGAATCTACTACGGAAGCCTCTGAAACATTGTGTTTATGTTCTACTTCTCTCAAACGCACGGTAGCAAACTTCTCGAACTCGTTAGCCACATTTCTGTCACCATCTCTTGGTGACGAATTTTCCAAACCACTAACCTCAGCGCACCCCACATTGTCTTGGAGAGCTTCAGAGCTTTGTTCGGCCAAGCCTTCGGGATTTGCTCTCACATTTGCACCGCACGGTCTGCTCGAATTGCTGGTGGAAGTCCAGTTTTCTTTAGATGGATGGGGCAGCTTTGCCTTTTGAGAGTCCCTATAATTCATTGAAGGCCGAGTATTTGGCTCCAACAAAGGCTCATCTGTGGCTGAATGGATAAATGTAGGCCTCTTTACATGATCCTGAGTAGCCTTGCCCAAATTTGGATGCTCCTCGCCTTCATTCCCCGCATATTTTCTGGAACTATCAAGTTCGCTCGTGCTGCCGCTCGACATCCTTTCCCGAAACTTCTTGGGATTCAAGACCTTTGCAATTGAATTGCTTGGAGGATTTGATGACAATGATCCTGCTGCTACAACACTTGTCTTTAGCAACTTTGCCTCATTGCTTTGCACAACTCCTTTAGAATCATAAGCGTGAAGCTTCTCGTTGTGATGAGATTGTATCGAGCCCTTGGAGGACGATGAGAAGATGCCCCTTTTCTTGCCACCAAACTGCACAAAACAAGCAAAGTTCATGCAATCATTACCCAAAAATGCATAGAGAACGAGAAGCTTCAAAACCAAACATAGTGGCTCATTTTAAACCCATGATCAACCCCTTAATTAGCCGATGTGGGACTCCTCTCCCAACAATCCTCCCCTCGAACAAAGTATACCATAGAGCTTCTCCTGAGGCTTATAGAGCCCTCGAACAACCTCCTCTTAATTGAGGCTCGACCTCATCTCTGGAGCCCTTGAACATAGTACAACCTTTGTTCCACACTTGAGTCACTTTTGACTACACTTTCGGGCCTCACAACTTACTTGTTCGACATTTGAGGATTTTATTGACATAACTAAGTTAAGGGCATGACTCTAATATCATATTAGAAATCACAACCTTCCATAATGGTATGATATTGTCCACTTTGAGTATAAGCTCTCCTGCCTTTATTCTTGGTTTTCCCAACGTGTCTCATATCACTAGAGATGCATTCCTTACTTATAAACCCATGATCAACCGTTAATTACCCAACGTGGGACTCCTCTCCCAACCGTTCTCAACAATATGAATGTATGGTTTCAGTTTTTGGCTTCTAAA